AAAATTCAATGTGATTCAATCAAATTTTCTCATATGAAGTCTCCTTTTTATTTGTTTCAAAAACTCATTAATGAACAATCTAAAACTCATTGGATTCATATTCAAGAACTTCAACTTTTGATTCAGCTTTGAAGCTTATAGAAGAAGGAAACCATTGATTTACTGGACCAGCTCACGACCACGAAGCGCAAAAACATTGTAAGTTGAAATTAATTGATTAGGCTTTGATCTATTGATTTTTCTCTCATTTGTCTTTGTACCTAGGCCTGGTTGGTGTCCACGTAGCATCTCTTTAAAAACCATGGTTTTTTTATTATTCTTGGTCCTGTGCCATATCGCCGCTATACAGCAGTATCAGAGCGGTTTCCCCTGAGAGAAAACGATATCGGTGTGATATTGTTTCACTCATAGCAGTCATACGGCTCCAACACAAAGATGAGGCAAAATCCATATTGTATTGGAGCGGTTCCGGTATTGCTTCAATCCACTTCAACTTCAATCATCAAATATAATCAGGAACTCACTCCAATATTGACACTGTACCTTCTTCATTGAGTCTCATTCAGCTCCTTATCTCAGCCAATCAAAGGCCATGACCAAACTACTTGACTCATCATATCTTCAAATGATCAATAAATTCCAACCTCTTCTCACAAATGAACATCCATGTGACCAATTGCTTCAGCTTCACTTTAATTATCTAACTTGGCTCATTATGAAAATGAACTCACAGGCACATCAGATGGCAATTCATGGTGAATGGTAATCTTCAACACTGAAAGCTTCTTTACCAATAACGTTTAGGGTCAACTTAGGATAGAATGTACACAGATATACAAATAGAGATAAGGTGATAGGGTATTACTATTCATCAAATGATCAACACTCAAAACGGTCAACAAGAAATCAAATCAAGAAATGTCAAGGTAATCAAACAAATCATCAAGAACAATTGATATCTTATTATACCTGATCCATACTATTCTTATCATCATCCATCCATCCATCCATCCCTCAGTTAGAATGATTCAAAACAATTCAACAACACTGTCAATTTTCAAACAAATCTCAATCTCAACTTCATTTACTTCAACTGCTTCAACTGCTTCTTCTTCTTCATCTACACATCAAAATCAACTTACAACCATCAACAACAACCATAACTCATTTTCTTCATTACCACATGATATCTTTAAAATCACCAGTGAAGAAATCACTGCCCAATATACTGTTAGTCTTTGATCTATCTCTCTTTCTGCCTTGCTGCCCCAAGACAGACACTCACCTCTTTATGAACAGTTTGAAACAAAATTGGTTATGGGAATTGGGGTTTGATTTGGTGCTTTGAACAATCAAAATCAAACAACATTAAAAAAACTTACCCAGTAAAGCAGTTCATTGTGATCAAAGTTCAAATACTACCAAAGCTTGTGTGACATCTGTGGTAGCTTGATGGAATGAATTCAAGTTGAGTTGTTTTCTTTTCAACTTTTCTAAACCTTGATCAAACCGCTGAAATATCTTTCAATCATCTTAACTAACTTTTTTGTTGTTTCATTATCTTTTTTTGTAGGACATCACATAGATTTGAATCCAATCTATCTCCCAATGTTCTTGGGATTCCATGATTTATTAATACTCCTTCTTTTGCAATCCTTACTATGGCTTTTCATCCTGATCTTTTACCCTTTGGAAACTGAATCAAATCCTAAAACTTCACCTTATTCATGTGGTCTACTTCTGGGTGTTGAATTCTTACTGCATCCTCATATTACTCATAATGATATTGAACCGGCTGAAGTCGTCATTGGCAAACAAGATCAACATGTTTTCATTGAATTTTGGGTCTACACGCCACACCGTTGCTTCACAGGTCACATCAAAGGCAGATGATGGATTCACAGGAGGTGAGTGGAAGGAAGGACTGATCTACAAGGAACCAGGATGATTCAAGACACCACCTGTATTTCTATTTTTCAAATTTGAAGGAGTAGTGAGTTCTGACTTTGATTATCATACTTTCTCATCAATCAATCATAGTTTGTCAATATCTTTTCTTTGATCTTCACCGCCAACATATTTACCTCGGATTACAAAATCCAAGGTATCCTTGGATGCAAAACCTTGGACAGAAGATTCCCAAGGTTTTGATCCAAGGTAATTCTCAGAGCAAAAAAATCCCTCAGGTGAAAACCTTGAACAAGGTCTGTCCAAGGATTTGCCTCCGATGATGCCTTGGATTTCTCAACCCAAGGCATCTATGCTGGCAGTGCTTCTCCCGATCTGCGGCAACTAACTTATGTCGAATCTCACACTCCTGAGCTAACCAATCAATATAACCACCTGCTGATTCAGCCATTTCTTCAATTAGTCAAGCAGCACATCAAAGTAACCTAGCAGCAATCTCACTGCGCAAAGTTGAAAGTGTTGGAATAAATTCTGTCAAGCTAATGTGGTCAAAACCACTGAGGCTAAAATAAGACAAGATTGAACAATAAAGGTTAGAGTGTCTCAGGTTTAGAAGGAATGGGATGAGAAGAATAGAAGAATAACATTACTTACAATGATCGAGAAGAAATGTTTCAACTGTAGTTTAAATGATTTATGGAAGAATTAGAAGGCATCATCCGCATTGGGATTTATGAATTAGTTTGTTTAGAAGATTGTTCTAGTAGTGTGGAGAAATAACGTTTGTAGACCAATGATATTTTTCCTCATATACCCAGCTGTCTTGTCCTTTAAAATTCTTTTTCCCTCATCGTGGAATAGAATTTTAAAGGTCAGTAATTAATTAATTTGTTACATTTCTACATCAAGACTCTAACTAACTCCTTAATATTTTATATTGCCTTTTGTCTTCTGTATCTCTGTCTCTCTGATCTTTCTCTCATAGCTCTTTCTTTATCATTATCCTCACCTATCCTTTTAGGTCAGTCGAGTTTAGAACTCGCTAGTCTTATCCTTGTCAGCCGTGTCTTGTCAACACCAGCTGAGGTTTTTCTTTAACCTTTATAAAGGTGTGTTGTATACATCTATTTTAGTCTCTTTTGTTTCTTTCCTTTTTTTTCCCCAGCTGAGGTTTTTCTCTAACCTTTATAAAGGTGTTATTTCTGTTCCAGAGCTTAGAGCGTCGAGTCTCCGTCAAAGCTCAATTTCTTACATGGTAGCGAGAGGTTCGAACGATACCTCATAAATCTCAAATCATCTTTTATGTCATCAAGTCCTATCGACTCTACCTCCGAAGATCCTACTTTAACAGATAACAAATCTGTCAGCTCTGCCGAAACCGCTCCACAAGACCTTAGTGTTGAAGAAACCACCATTGAATCCCAAGGCCAGCGTTTACCTGAGAACATGTCCTCAGAAGAACCCGCGTCTGTGTTTGGTAACGCTCTTCAGCGTTATGGTCAACAGTTGAACAATGCTCTGAGCAAATTCAAAGTCACTGATGACTTAGAAGATGGAAACTATCCAACCTGGCATCGATCTGTTTTTGATAACCTGGAAACTTTGGAACTGCATCATTATATCGAAGTCAAGGATTTTTTCGATAAGGAACTCTCAAGTGACAAGTTTCTTAAGACTAAGAAGGTCATAGTTAATTACATACTGAATCGTCTAGACAAGTCAAATCACTGCCAAGCCATCAATCGCTTAACGGATCCAGAAGATCCAAATTCCATTCTCCACGATCCCTTCTTGCTGTGGTCTTTCTTAAAAGAACGACATTTCTTGATCAATGCTCAACGTCTGGCTGTCATTTTGAAGTCACTGAGTACTGTTACGATCTCTAGAGGTGATACGCTGTCCGGTTATCTCGACAAATTTGAAAACCTGTTCATCGAATTCACTCGGTATGGAGGTAAAATGGATGATGCTCAATCTGCTCTACGACTCATTGACTCCATCGATCGATTGTCCGAGTCGACTGTGGAATTTATTCATTCTACGGTGTCACCTCTTACCCGTCGAGACGTCGTGAAGTATCTACGCGACTATGACATGCGTCACAATTTTTCCACGGAGGCTACCCGTGAAGCTTGGTCAGCAGATATATCTGCTAGTGCTGTCTCTCGAGGACGTCGGTTTGAATGTACCGAAACGGTTTGTAGGGGGCCCCATCCTGCCAATAAGTGCTGGTCTAAGCCTGCCAATTTCAAGGAAAGGGATGATTTCCTAGCTCGTCGTCGTGCAAATCGAAACGGAGGAACTCAAAGACCAATTTCAAACTCCAGCTCTCGACCTTCAAACACACAGGTTCGAGGAATGAGACGTGTCAATGCTCCTTCAGCCAACACCGTGATCGAATCATTGGAGATGTTATCTTTACATGCCAGTTTCAAGATCATATCACTCGACAATACACCCTCAGCAAATCTGTCCACATCTGATTCTGCTAATGTAGTGTGGGCACTTCATGATACCGGTGCAACCCACCATATGTTCAACTCACGATCCCTCTTTTCGCCGATTCTTTAAAACCTGTGGACGACCCAAATCGACGGATCAAACTGGCTGGTGGCGATGCAACCTTAGCAGTCGAAGGCATTGGAAGAATTCATTTGAAAGCAGGTGACGGTTCGGTCTTTGAACTTACCGAATGCTTACTAGTTCCCGAGCTTAGTAAGAACTTAATCGCAGGAGGTGTTCTTAAGAAGAAAGGTGTTCGCGAATATTTTGATGAAACTGATCTCAGCTGCTTCGCTCTAGTCAAAAATGGGCTGGCTTTGTTCAACGGAATTATTCTCAGAAATGGACTGATGAACGTGTTGATAGAGTCCACAAACTTTTCTCTCCCTCTCTCAAATCATCATCACACAAACCATCAAGACGATCAAAGAATAAACCCTGACCTCAATTTCCATCATCCAAGCTCAAGTTTAACTGGTCCGACTCCTACTCGATCAGCTCTACCACATTCATCTAGTCTTGCAAACTTACCCAATGAGCAATCTGAATCACTTCATCACAGTCTATCTTCAAATCCAAACTCAAGATCAATGGATACATTCTCAAAATTGTCATCAGAAGATCAAGCTACAGATCATCATGTTAGCAAAGTACATTCAGATTTAGAACAAGTCGGAGTACAAGCAGATGGATTTGTGGAAGGAATTAAACACACCATAGAGTATAGACCCTGTCGTCAACATTTTTCAGATCATCAATCACAAAGAAAACAAAATCTATGTGTAGCAGAAAATCGTGTTGAATCAAGAAGAATATTAAAATTTAATGAGATCTCAGTCGCAGTTTCAAGCGATTCAATTTCAAATACAATCTTGTATAAATTGGATGGTCAATGGTCAAATCAAAGCAATCAATTTGGAAGATTCTGTTATGAAGCTGTAAGAGATAGATGGAAAAGAGCAGATGATCAATTAATTGAACGATATACAACTCAAATTACTAATGATCAAGATCCTCAGATAGACTTAGATGTACAAAATGAAATTTATGGTCATATCTTATTGAACCACGTTATGGTTGTGATCAAGAACTCTTTACTTCAATTCATACACACTTTTGGAATGTATTGTGGAACATGTGGTTATTGTCGACATTACATCATTGCTATGATTTTAATCATATCTTTGCACCTGGCTATCCTGCTTTAGTTCACCGTCTTTGTGTTCAAGAAAGATTAACTGCTGATCTGCAGATCAAAGCTCTAGGAAACCAACAGCTCATCAAGTTGTGAAGCAAATTAGGTGTCAAGTAGCCTCATTGGTCTTGAGGGGGTGTGTTGGAATAAATTCTGTCGAGCTAATGTGGTCAAAACCACTGAGGCTAAAATAAGACAAGATTGAACAATAAAGGTTAGAGTGTCTCAGGTTTAGAAGGAATGGGATGAGAAGAATAGAAGAATAACATTACTTACAATGATCGAGAAGAAATGTTTCAACTGTAGTTTAAATGATTTATGGAAGAATTAGAAGGCATCATCCGCATTGGGATTTATGAATTAGTTTGTTTAGAAGATTGTTCTAGTAGTGTGGAGAAATAACATTTGTAGACCAATGATATTTTTCCTCATATACCCAGCTGTCTTGTCCTTTAAAATTCTTTTTCCCTCATCGTGGAATAGAATTTTAAAGGTCAGTAATTAATTAATTTGTTACATTTCTACATCAAGACTCTAACTAACTCCTTAATATTTTATATTGCCTTTTGTCTTCTGTATCTCTGTCTCTCTGATCTTTCTCTCATAGCTCTTTCTTTATCATTATCCTCACCTATCCTTTTAGGTCAGTCGAGTTTAGAACTCGCTAGTCTTATCCTTGTCAGCCGTGTCTTGTCAACACCAGCTGAGGTTTTTCTTTAACCTTTATAAAGGTGTGTTGTATACATCTATTTTAGTCTCTTTTGTTTCTTTCCTTTTTTTTTCCCTCATCGTGGAATAGAATTTTAAAGCTCTTTCTTTATCATTATCCTCACCTATCCTTTTAGGTCAGTCGAGTTTAGAACTCGCTAGTCTTATCCTTGTCAGCCGTGTCTTGTCAACACCAGCTGAGGTTTTTCTTTAACCTTTATAAAAGTCAGTCGAGTTTAGAACTCGCTAGTCTTATCCTTGTCAGCCGTGTCTTGTCAACACCAGCTGAGGTTTTTCTTTAACCTTTATAAAGGTGTTATTTCTGTTCCAGAGCTTAGAGCGTCGAGTCTCCGTCAAAGCTCAATTTCTTACAGAAAGTTGAACTCGAGAAGGCTGAGATGGGTTAGAATCAAGTTGGCCACATGTTTGACTGATTTGATTCAAGTACAACAGATCTTTTGAGAAGACTGTTCAGGAACTGATCAATTGAAAGTGACAAAAAAATTGCCAACTTCTAAGCTTGTTACCTTTTTTATAACGGGCTATTCTCTAGGGTCAAAATCTATAAGCAAAGAAAACCTACTCTATCATGTGATTCACTTTAGGGCTTTTTGCCTCTTGAACAATCAGAGTATGAAGCAAGAGAAGAACTCCGCACTGATAAAACCTTCTTTTGATTTTTCCATTCTAAGACTAACTAATTGACTATCTTGATAACACTCACAAAACAATAAAAATCCCAAAACACATGAACACACATAGAATAAGATGTGAAAAAGGAAAAAAACCCATCCTTCCTGCAGAAAACTTTCCCTCCGCTCAAACCTATCTGAAATGTATGTAAGTTCCTCTATTGTTTTCATCACTTCCTTCTTCTGATGTCTTCTTGATTTTTTTATTGAGCTGTTTTCGATTTTATTTTCAAGTTCAATTGATTTGTGTTTGTTGTGTGTTGAGTTGTCTGGATCCTAATCAATGCTCGGACGGCCCCCATCTCGATCGACACCATTCAAGCCTTGCCACCGCCCACCACTGTTCCATCTCCTCCCATCAGTCATTCTAAAAATCATATTATAAGATGTACCAATCCTACCACTTTGAGGCTCAATAGGTGAAGCTATAATCAACTTATCATTTGCTTATTTCAACTTATTACACTACACAAAATGTCATCTTTACCGGGCGGTAAAGAAAACTACTGACATAGAAAAGTCCTGAGGCAACAGGAAGAGAGCTAAAAATCTGAAACAATATGCACCTTGTTCCTAGATGTTGGGGCGTCATGACAAGTATTTTTTTGTATTTTACACACAGATATTGGTTAATGTACTAACAATAAAGGCTGAGAATCATCAAAAACCCACCTGTAACAATCACCTGTGGCGCCTACTCCCGTCGAGTACTAAAGCGATGAGACGGGGCACTTTTTCATACGGCTCTGACTCGATGGTTTGCGCCAGATCACTCAAGATGATCTAGAGCAGAAAACCGCTCCTTCATAAACACTGTTCAAGTCATTTTGAAGTCTTGAAAGTGTTCAATATGTCATTTGTAGTCATCCTCTTTCTTTTTTTGTTCATTCAAAACAAAAAAAAAAACTTGAGTTCACAGCCTAAGGTTATCAGATCACTCAGATCGATCTACGGCCTCTCAGATCAATTTGAGAGTCCTCAGATCGATCTGAGAGCACTCAGACCAATTACAGAGTTCCCAGATCAATCTGAGCCACTGAAATCGATCCAAAGGCTCCCAGGTAGTCCTCAGATCAATCTGATAACTCATTGACCATTAGTACATATACCAAAATCGATATACGAAGTCCTTCCATTTATCAGTCACTATCACTCATCTCAAGCTGGGTCAATTCAAGTCACACGAGCCGGACTTGACCAAGACATCACACAGATCAACAAATCGACCAGCAACCGCTTTCAAACACACCTATGGCATCAAGATTGAATTCATGGTCATCGTCAACGTACTTACAAAAGCATCACTAATCAACCGACTGCAAAAGTTCAAGATCGACCAACAACATCATTGTTGAATCAACCATCACTTCGAAAGCTCAAAACTTTGTACTCTCGTTCCTCTTCAAGCAATCCAACCATACACAAATTTAGATTTAGATGTAATCGTTTTCGATTCAAGATCAAACTCACACTCTATTAACGGATTCACTTTAATGTTTCAAATAATTTCAAATCATCTGATCAAACTTGTCAAATATTCAAGTTCATTCATGTTTGAATTGTTTCAGATCATCTTATTGAACTCGTCAAATATTTGAAAGGTTCTTTCAAGTTCACTAGTACATTGGTACAAAATTTGGATCCACATCATCCAGCTCATAAGCATAGTCTTCCTCGTCTTCCATTCCCTCTTCCCAATCTTCCCCTCGAATAATTGGAGTTTCTACTACATCTCCCCATAGATGCTGGACTTGTTGCATCAGGTTGTTCCAATTTGCCTTAAGTCGTGCTTCATCTTCAATAGGTAGACTTGTGTAATCTGATGTACCAGAAATCACTTTTGCAATTCCACGATTCCATGTCATCCACAAGCGAGAATGTGATTGGATTTCATTAAAGAATAACAAAATGAGCACTTCCCTGCTCTCTACCAACAAACCTTTGCAATGAAGTCGATCCGTTGTTATAAGCTCCATCACCCATCTATTATGTTCATTGTCCAGCGAGTCATCTAAGAAATGTGAGAGATAATTTAATATAAGTTAGGAACAAAGAAAAAGATGATATACAATCTACATACCTCGACTGAATATGATTTCCTTGAGATTGAACAACTTGTCGTACGTCTCAACTGCCCATCCGATTGCCTGTCTACACTCGCGTCCAATCCTACGTAACTCATCTTCAGAATGAGTTACTTCCAAATACCACTTGATTCCGTCTTGTAGGTTTGCATCGGTGGCCCAAGCCTCTTCTGGATGAGTCAATCGACCAAAGTCCCAGAATTGATCATCGATTGGTGTGGACTTCACCTGATCAAAATCTGGGCATTCGATTGAGGTTTCTTCGGGGAAATTCTCATTGTACGCTGATACCTGGCGCTCAAAGGTCACGTATTTCTTTTTCAGCTCAGCTTCCTTCGATCGGAGTAACTTCAGATGCCTTTGTAGATGTTGTGTTCCTAGATAGTTACTGAGATGAATTATCATCTACCAGACTAAGTTTTGACATATAGTACATACCTGCTCTCTCATTTGCTTGCTTTGGCGCCTCCAAAACACCAACCTTTGCGTCATAAAGCCTTCCCTTCGACACTCGTAATCGTATCATTGCCCTTCCTTGTGTACCTAAAAAATTTAAAGGTAAGTTGTATAATCAAACATAATATTGTTTATTATTTTGTGACTGACTATCAGCTCCAGGTATATCTCTAAACTCTTCAGCCCCAAGCTCGTCAATCAAAGAATCAATCTCCTCTTCGAATAGAGTCAGAGTCTCTGGCAACCGCAAGATGCGCCGCTTGTCAGCTTGATTTCGAGTGCGACATCGCTTACGTCGAAGGTCCCTCAGCTCCAATCTAAGATGAAAGTCATGGTCAGAATCATCAAGTAATAAATGAAATGATGGATTCCTACTGTGATTGGTGCAGGGTTTCCTCTAGGTCTACCAGATGGGCTAGTTTATCTGTCAATGCTTTGATGCTGTCGGTTCCGATGACTTTGAGCTGACATTCCCGTTGTCGGTTCCATTGGGCCTGGATGTATTTGATAGTGTAGTTAGGATCTTGAAGCAGTCGAGTGAGTTTGTTTCGACTTTCCATAAGTAGCTTCTTCATGTCATTCATGCGTCTGACCATTGATTCAACTGAGCATAAATTCAAAACGGTTTAGCTAGGGGTATCGAGTTATTAATGAAAAAACCTGACCACTGTTAAATCGCCCCCGTTCATTGTAAAAGACAGCCTGAAGGTGCAATGCCCATAGGCGATGCTCCTTTGTTGAATATCGTAGCACAGCTACCAAATCACACAATTCCGACCATATACACTCTAATCCCTCTCCATCTGACATGCCCCAGTCGGGATTCAAGCAAGGATTGTATTGTATTTGACAGGATCGTATATGTGCGTAAGAGTGCCAGGCTCCGGTTCCAAACATGAATCGACCTGCTTCCCGTTTGGCCTTAAATAAATTTCTCTGTAAAATTGAAAGTCAATATAAAATGAAATGAAATGAACAAGAGTACCATAAGAAGTCAAGATTGGAATATCACTTACTAATTGCATTCCTCTTTCCAGAGTACATCCAATATTGTATAAAAATGCAAATTTGCTCTCTTCATCTCCTTCCAAAGGATCCAACTCTTTGATCAACCAGTCAATCATGGCCACCGGAAAGTGCCCACTGTTAAATACAGATTAAATGTACCAATGTTTTAAATGATGTACAGCTTTGATTCATAAAAAAAGTTGTACAAGTGGCTGAAAGTCACTCACCGTTCGCCACTCTGGACTATGTTGATGAATTTCAGCACGTGATCATGCCGACAGGCCATTCCAAACAAACCGGTTTCGTCACAAGCACGCCAAGTTTGTTGGCCCCTAGCGTCGTTGGCTGCGGTATGACTGGCGGTACATGGGTCCTAGATAACAGAAAAGTCAAGATACAAGAACAATCAGACAGATATGTATAACAAATGTTTGAGTTTGAAACTTACAATTGACTCTTTCTTGTTGGTTGTTTTGCCATTATTTGGCCGATTGCAATCATCCCATTTATCAACCTCCTCTTGAGGAAGAAAAAGCGAGGGTAAAGTTGAGATCTCACGCCATGTTGCACTGGCTGCTTTATGGCGCCGGTGTTGGAAATTACCGTCCATACAGACAATGTAGTCTGGTTCCGATTCTCTCTTCCCTTCAACTCGAGGTCCGAAGCAGCGGGGGCAGTTGGATGCCAGCTGTTGCAGTGAGGTAAGTTTGAGAGCTTTCTTTTTAAGCTCCGCCTCAAGACGTAGCATTTCACGATACACGTCGACCGCTGCTGAAAACGGTTTTCGCCAGTCTCGAGGCTACATAGATATATTTAGATCAGTTCACTCGCATCAGAAGTAATGGAGTGTTGAAGATAGACTTACTCGATCACCTTTGGCCGTTGTGATTATTGGATTTCGCGCATCAAGGTATTCATCGATGGCAAGGCAGAACGGATTGATTCGGACCCGGCATAGCTTCCATATTAGATGATGAAGTTGTAAAAGTCAAATCGAAAAGGCGGTCTCAGGGTTTTTAGCTGTTGCTCCTATTAAACCTATCTGGACCAGTCGAACAGCGTCCAACTGGCACGTGCAAAAAGACAACTTTGATTTTCTTTTGACCTGGTTCAAATTTGAAATCAATCCGTGCACAACACAATCAGTACGTTGACTTGGTGCTTGTTCATCAAGAAAGATTTGGAAACTGACAAGTGATATCAACAACGTCGATTGACCGCTCTTGTTGGTCAGTAGTACATTTACAAGCAGCCTTCCAGTCACGATTCCAACTTTCCTCATCTCCCCATTGGTACGTTCTTTTGGAGCACCTCATGAATTCGGAAAATATGAGGGGTGCAGCGGCTCTCATCTGCGCTTGTTCCCGTTGGGTCCTAGCTTGGAAGGAGACATACTCGCGTGGTGTTGCATCTTCATCATCTGTCCAAACGGAGTCCTGGCCACCCTCATATATACAATGATCTTTGTTTTGGATTTCATCAATTCTGTTCGAAGTACTCTGACCCAATAACTTTGCCATAATCGCAGCTGATGCCTGAGCTTCTTGTGAATTCAGCTTATCTAATTTGTTTCCTAACGCTGTCTTCTTCATCTTTTTATTTTTCCTTTTCTTGAGTGATCGAATTGGTTGCGCTGGTAAGGCCATGTTGGGTTGAGTACGATGTCACTAAATATTGATTCAAGTGACAGTAATGAGACCGATATGACTCAAAATGAAAAAGGTATGAATTTTTTTGAACCCTTCCTTGGCGCTTATTTCTTACTCTTACTCACACTTGTTTGTTTGATTTGAAATTTTTTGTTTGAATCGGTTGGTAGGCTAGCGTGGACTATCGATAGTAAATGGCTACTGTGGTATTCAATTCAAATCTATCTAATAAAGATGACAACTAGATAAGTTCCAACTTTCTATCCAAATCGGGTTAGATGCTCACACTTACCAAAGCGGAAATTGCGCTATCAAAACACTTGCTAAAGCAGGAAATGGGCTATGGAAATGGAGACATAGGAAATCTGGATGGAATATCTAAACGATTTCAACAATATTCAGGTACGTGAATGCCATCATCCTCAAGGTACACTTAGTTTCCATCGTCAAAACGATTAATTAAGGCACTGCTGATGGAAATACACCTTCAGCGCTTATCAAAATGAAGCCATCATATGAGATTGGTGGCACTCTTATGCTTGTAATACTAATATGATTTCATTGAGTATTCTAGGACACAAAGTGCTGCCTAATCAAAAAGGACTGGTGGGAAAACATAAATGTTATTGAGACTTTTGGGAATCAAATTGTAAATATTACCCAGAATACAAAATCAAACTGAGGGTTCTTTGTGGAGTCAAGTAATCAAATGTCATATTTTTTAATATCAAAATTCTATTTACGTGACAAAGGGTTCAATAACTTTTCTGTTTGTCAATAAAAGGTAGGAAAAGAGCCTGCTAGGGGTTTTAGACATGGAATTTTCATGGTAAAAAGTGTCATAAATCCAATTTGAATTCCACAATGAACCCTTTTACTTACTCACATCCACACATGCTCCATGCTATATACTATATACTGTATCATAGCTTGTGATCTCAATACCCTGTTGGTGTGACATTCAAACTTATGAAAAATATGGGCAGTTTTTTTCTCATGGTGATCTAAGGATTGATTTCCTGAGCTTTGCTTCTATTGATGGATTGGGAATTCCAAGAGACAAGTGGATGAACAGTGGATGATCATCCATCCACTGTCAGAAGAGCGGCTCACTGGGTGCGGGCGCGAGCCTGCTGCAGGCAAACTCCAACCGGTGCTCCGTTTTTCACCCTCACATCATTGGGTAGACCGGGAATCCGGATTTTGAGTGAGAATTCTCACAACTGCGCTGAGAAAACACCTGAAACACGTACAGATGCACTAGCATAATGCTTGTATCAAGACTTTCCTTCAACCCACATGTCTGCCGCCCTCGCATGACTGCGGCACACGTGACCCTCTCCGTCTCCCTAGTTCCCACATTCATGGGTATACACCGACCAATGTCTTGTCAATATGTGATCTGTACACCATCGGTACACATCACAACGCGCGACGACCCGTTCCATGATCCCCGCTGTATCACATCAAAGCATCCCATCATCCCTCACCAACTCTATTGCCTGACCACCACGCAAACACCACGCAAACAAGGCCAACACCAAACCACCACTCACTTCCAACTACCAACCTCATCATCTCATTCATATCTCTCGTTCGTTCCGGAAATCATGTTGCTCGTGGACTTTGTCAATCGGCTCAATCAAAATCACCCAAAACTTGCCAATCGTCTTACCCTTCCGATGCTCATGCAATTTGTCACTCTGGCCGCCGAGGTGTACTCGCGCGCCCACCAAGCCCTAAAACTGTCCTCCAGCGATACCCGAATCCTACCATTCCTTGAGCTGGCCTTGCAGCTACAAATCGAACCTACGGATTACAAAGCTCTCTGGAACCTCACGTTTGCCTCACTACCCGCCGCCCACCTCGATCCAGTTGCTCTCATTCGTTTGCACGGGCTTCATGGGCCTCTAACCACAAAGGTTCACGAACAATACTTCATCCCGCCTATCTCTCAGTGCATAAACCGTAACCAACCTTCCGGGCACAGCCTTCATCAATGACCTCGTGTGGATGGCTACGTCTACGATATTGACGGGATTCACTCGGCGCAGTTTCACAACTGGAAATGTTTTGGTACGCTGCCAAAGCTTGGACAGCAAACTATTCACGTTAATTGACCAAACTCTCAATGCATGTCTAGATTGCAAAACATATTATCGGGCATCGTACTACAAATGGAACGGGTCCAGAATATACTATACTGAGGACCAAGGTGCCGATTCACTATGGTACCAGGTGCATTGCCACTTTGGCTTCACTCATCGGCTCGCAAACTACTTTCGGCAATCGCAGATGCTCGCCCAGTAAGTGCAATCACTTTAATGTTGCTCTGCAACTATTGCGGGATTATTTGGCTGACCAGAATCTACATACTTGTTCACGAAGTACGTCTCACTTTAATCTACTTAATCTATTCAACCTTACACATTTCAATAGTCAGCAAGTACCAACCCACACAGCGGCTCAATCTTTCTCTCCAAAGTTGTCACAAGAAATGGTTCGCGACGCCGTCGATCTCTTCAGTTTATTACGGCGTTGCAATCGACGCGGTGCCGTTCTATACCTCCCCGACGAGGGAGAGCAAGAGGATCGCTTGATCCCAGCTATGATTCGCGAGTTGCATTATATAGCAAATAAAGGGTCCAAGTACCGAGACCACGTTTGCTCTTTCTGCGTCAAAGAGGTAGATGTCAAGCATGAAGGAACTTCAGGTATAAAGGGTAAGTAGGCTTTCACTGCAATTGCGCACTTGAAAGCCAATTGGTTCGCTTGCTGATACCCACACTTCAATCCAGCTATTCGGGCAGTCGTGACGGACGGGCTAACCATCGGACACTGGCGGTGCACGGCTTCCTCAGCACAACTCGAAGAACTCGCGCACCGAGCTGGAGCTCCACCACCCAATGGACCTTGCCTAAACCAGATACCAAAGGTAAACTCACGATTCTGTCTGGAGCATGCTACCAGCTTGCAAGGCTGGTGCGAGGCGCAACCCTGCACCGCTCTTGCTGTCAAAGGTTCGAAAACGTGCTCAAACCCAGCCCATGTCGACGCCATGGCGGCATTCGAAATTCGGAAGAAGAAGGCCTTCAACCTCAAATCGATGCTCAATCGCCCAGACACCTTGGAAATCATTGACTTGGACGGACTCCATCAGGCTGACGAGTCCGATAGGGCCCATGAAGCAGCCCGCAATGGTGGAACGGCCAAACCCAAAGGAACACCGTGCTTGAGCCGTAGTCGGACTCATAACGATCAACTGATCGTTGGGACCTGTGGAATCATTTTGGCAAGACAGACGTTCTACAATTCGGAGGCACCTAGTGCCCTCAGGGTAAGTTTGCATCTCTATACAGCAGGTGACCAGATGCGAACTAATCATCTCGGTCTCGGTTCTCGCAGGACTACCTCATCGACACCTTCGGTGACAATATGCCCGAGGTCATATTTTATGACAATGCCTGTAATTTGCTCCGGGTCATCCACAACGGCGACATTGACCCCTCAGCGTTTGAAGAGACAATCATTCCAGTCGACCCTTTCCACCATCGCGCGCACGCCGAAAGTGATGGATTCTGTCGCATGTACAATGATCCAAAACTGTTTCCAGACTTACAAGAAAACGGCTCTTGGTGTTTCAACTCTTCTGCCGGTGAGTTAAGTAACATTTGGTATGGTGGCTATGCTTCCATGTGCCGCAACACGCAAGCCACCCGTTATGAATTCTTCCTTGAAGAAATGGTGGAGTATCGCAATGATTGGCTAAGTGCGGCACTAGCATGTCGTGAGAATATTAAATTCATTGGCTTTGGCAAGGTGTAGTTACATAGCCCTCGTAAGTTTTGGGACCTTACCCTCTGGAGATCATGGTTTCATAACTGATCTATCACTATCTATCAACCATCCAGCCGCTCGCCTGCTGAATTGAGGATCGTGCTTTTAGGCTGCATTTCTTGGGGCGAATTCGTGTGGAAAGATTTGTCTTTGTAATACATGTCATATTTGATGGTGCAATATGTTTGGAAAAGATTATTTTAGAAATACTAGTTACATTTAATGGTTGGTGCGAAATCTTTTGGAAGCATGATTATTCAAATAATCAGGTGAGCAGTTGAATGAAACAAAGTAACCGTCCCAAAATGAGGTGAGGTGAACCTCCCCAAGCATGTGCATAGTAGTAAATTGTCCTCGGCACTGTTCTTTCCACGTGCCTATCCGCCCAAGGGTGCCTATCCTCCCTTGGGCGAATAGGCCCCTTTTTGGTTTTCCTCTTTCAAGCGGTCATAGTATATGGGTATACGCTAGTGACTATAAGGAAAGAAGAAAAAACAATTTTTGAAGCGTTCAATCCTTTTTTCTTCTTTCATGGATGTATCATGGTGAGACCTTTTGGAGGCGCAGTAGGCGCATCATGGGCCTACGGGGTAACTCACTGTTGCGCACACTGATAGTCTTCATTTTATTTACCAGAGGTGATCTGGTAATTAACAAAATGTGAGGAGGTAATAGTTCCTCAAACCCTCGTTGTTCAATGTACGAGTCAAGGCGGATCGGGAATTCAATGCAATGACTAAGAATTGGTATGGCCAAGTTGCCATATCAGTTGATCTGGACACACCAAATGGAAATATACACACTAATTACAATGGGGTGCATATAGAGGGGACTGCATCAAAGGATGATCAAGGAGCACGGTAGGTATTAACCTTGAGGGTTAACAGGAGGTAGGCCCACGGGGTAATAATGAGGTGGCCTGATTAACCCGATGGAATCACACATGGCACCACAGACATGAGTAGAGGAGAATAGCTGCAATCCTCCCGTGTAAGTGTTTTGTAAGAACCAAAGCTGACTACAACAGTCAAGGAAAAGGAACATTCAGTATATGTGTTCATTCAGTCAAAAGTAAGCAAACATACGTATTATCCATGATGTTAACATCAGTAATAACGCCATTGACACCCCGGAACCCACAGACTAGTGCTTGTCGGCCGTGATATTCATAGGTCCAGTGCGTAAAGCATTCGAAAAGGCAGCCAAGGAAACTGTTGGCTTTGTTGCGGGGGGCGAACTCACAATCAGATGTGATGTATTTAGGTTCGCCTCCATGCAAGCTCTCACGCAAGTTATACCAACGTATCATTTGCTCGCCCAGGTGGTTGGTCTCGAATTTCTTACGCAAAACTACATTCTGGACAATCTGAACATTCGAAAACGCCGTCAGATTGTTTCAAAGCTAGTACTTTCAGCTTGTGATGACTCACATGCAGCGCTGCAAGAATCACCGTTTGTCAAGGGGTCAATATAGCCGCTCCTCGAACCACTTTCTTGAATTTTTTGAGCAGGCTGGAGGCGTGTCCTAACATCTGAGCAAATCGAAAGTGATCACCCATGGCGTTATCCTCAGGCTCGAGAGCACAGACTTCCATTGGAATGGAGTCATAAGCACGATGCCACATCGCTGAGAAGAGGGATTGACCGTCCCAAGGATAGCGTGAAACATTGTCCACATCGATGTCGACCACTTTACATGTCCACTTATGGCCAAAGACGTCTGAAGGTGTGCTGGGTATATCTTCCCGTTGAACCAGCCCGAATACAAGATTGTGTTGACCCTCATAGTTTTCGGTGGTGGCTGGATCGTCGAACGGTAGGGCGTGCCAACCAAGATTCTCGGATTCAATGAAACGCTTTGGAGAAACTGGGTTGCACGCAACCCAGTTGGGGGTGATCAGCATACGAAGCTTCGAAAATAAGTAGGAAAACCAAACTGACCAAATCCCAAGGTTTTGACCAAACTCATTGTGAACTAATGGTCAAGTGCTCGTTTCGTTTTTTAAGTATAAGAGTGGAACAAATGGAATGAGTCGGAGGGGAGGGAGACGAGATGCTCGAGGGAAGGTGTAACAAGTTGGACCGAAAGAGGCAAAGGGCAAGAAAAACAGAGAAAATGGAGAGGGAAAGGGGAATCTAGGACCTACCTCGCTCGGTGGTTATAAGGTTACCCACGCGCTTCAGAAGAAATAACGCCTTGGCGACGGTCAGGGGTTGGGCCAAAAGCACTATGGTTCATTTTCATGAGGATATCAACCGGGCTGACAGTCCTAATAGTCTATGACATGGCACAAACAGGGGTACTGAATGATCACAAATGAACAAACTAGGAACATTGACTTATGTCAACTTCATTGCAGTATGACACGCACTCATGGTCGTTAATCATCAGTCGCTCTCGTCTGAGGAGGTGTCCAAGGCGCGTTCTTCGGCGGTCAGTGTGTCCTTGGCCTTGGTGGACCTTTTGCGTTTAGAAGACTGGCCAGCTGGTCCAGCTGCTGTAGGAGTAGTTTGAGTGGCATCGTCTTTGATGCCAAGTTGGGTTTTTTCTTTTGGCGGACCGGACAAAGAGCAGACTGCGTTGTACTCTGACTGGAAATGTGGTCGGGTCTGAGCGACAGTGAGGTTGTGCATCGTGTGTTCGCCTCGCTCTGTGAAATCTTTTGCCCATTGGACCATTCTTTCATATCCGACTAGTTTGACCCAACCCGCATAATGGTAGACGGTTTTTTTTGAAAATCGATATTTGCTACCGAAACGCACATGCCACAGTTGGATACGAGCCTTACGACGAGGAGGAATGCCGGCTGAAATGAACCAATCGAGTAATGAAGAGACCAATAATTCTTTGCCTGGCCACTCTTTTAAACTCCCATAATGTTCCGGTTCTTGCGGATGTAAGTCAGAGTGAGAGGGCTTCACGTCGAGCTGCGAAAAGCATGGACTGAAGTCAGTTGAAAGTCAAACGTGAGTGGATGCAGATGGGATATTTGGATTGCACAGACCTCGTCGACCTGCGAAATGCATTGATTGAAGTCAGTAAAAAGTGAAACGTGAGTATATGCAGAGCACAGACCTCTTCAGCTGGGTTACCTAGAAGACTAGATGCCGGGGTAGATGGACATGCCGGGGTAGATGGCATTTCACTCCAAGGCTGTAACGATTGTTGATGAGTCTCTTCATCGGAGTCCGAGTCGAACAACAAACAGATGGGTTCAGCCCTGGTACCTTTAGTTGCATTTGGGGGGACGCGATTCGGAAATCGAGCGTTTTGAATAGAGCCAGTTTGGACGTTGGCATTGGCGACTGAACCGGTGGAAATTTGTGTTTGTGGGACGTTTGAGTCGGTCGACTCAATTTTGATTTGAGGTACCAGGGGTTTACCCAATTGAAATCCCTCAAGTTTTTCTTGAAGCTCGAGGCTGAGGGACGACCGCTCGTGGGGTAAGCATATCACGAGATTTTTGACCGTCTCGATGTAGGTATGAGGAATGTCCAAGCCAAGTTCACGCTTTCGGGGTGAGAGAAATCAAAATCGACCAAGAAACACCGTTTTAAGTCAATGTTCCATGGACTTACCCAGTTTCTGATTTCTTCGTCCCATACAACAAGGTGACCATTCCATGCCTGCCCGGCTGCGGCTTGGGTGTCACGCATTAGGCTTGGGGAATTGCTGAAGACGGCGACGGGCCAGTCGTTGAATAGTTGGGATATTACGGGGTTTGAAGAGCCCTGCAAACATCTTTGTGAGCTGTGGAACCGCGTAATGCCAAATGAGACAGTATGAGATTCACTTACGCGGGTGACAAAGTGGAGGCTCACTACCTTTGATCGATCAATACCCTGATTGCGAACAGCGTCATTGGAAAAGGCCGGATTGGGCACTCTGGGCGTGGCTGGAGTAACGTTGAGACGAGCGCGAGCTAGGACTAGAAGTCCTTTGTCATTGACCATGTGCCCAACTCGTCGAACACTCTGGGCGCACTGAGCTGGTAAGAGTTTGGGTCGTTTGGCAACCGGTGGATTGGGAGGTGGCGCAAGTCGTGCAGGGGTAGCTGTGGCAGACGGATTGGTCGCTGGTTGAGGCGGAGGTGCCTTGACCCTGTGGACATAGCAGCCGCCGGCGGGAGTGAAGGCCACACAACACTATGTAAGTCATGGTGGTTAGTGTGCAGATCAAATCCATATGTGAGAACCTAATTACTAACCGATTTGCAAAATCGGTGAGTACAGCCAGTATGACCTGTCTTCTTGTGCCCCTTCGCTGTTGGGCCGATGTGGGGGCGCGCACAGTCAATGGCTGGGGCAATTCGATTAAGTCGATTGTTGGAGCCAGACGGCTCGCTCGTCTGTGCTACACCGGTTCGAGGGGCAAGGGGCATCCCGTGGACGTTGACTTGGGGTCCGTGGGCAGAAGCATCGAACGGAATAGGGTAGGTGGCACCGGCGTTGATCAACGCGATCTCGTGACGAAGTTGGTTGAGCTTAAAAGTGCGGACGTAATGCTTGATTGTTGGGCACTGTGGTGGGGAACGACATTAGCGGCTGGTCGTCGACGCGGAGGTCCAAAGCTGAAAGGATTATATTGAGGCCCACGATCACATTGATGGTGTCCTTAGTTTCGTCTTTGCTTGAAGGGTAGATCAGCGAAGTGGTGTTGGATGGTGGACACTCTGGACAAGCAAGTCCAACGGGTGTGCCATGGGCCGGGATCGGTATCGTGGGGAACGAGGGCAGTCGACGGTATTTGGCACCAATGTAAGGGTTTAACACCATCTCTTCTAACGGTGTGGATGTGGATGAGACGCTTCAAAGGAAATAAAAATTGCGCTGATGGAGACATCGTGGAGGTTGACGAGGTTGTGTAAGGGTCGCGTTTCAAGTGAAAAATTTTTACTGATGAAAAAAAAGGGAAGTAAAGGGGGTTTTGTATGGATACGCGTGGACCTATGGGTTGATGGAGGTGCGACCATCAGGGCTAGGAGGCCGGCGCGCAGCAATTCAGGACCGGGTTCGTTATGCTACAAGCATCCGGAAAATTACAGTATGTTTGTGCTGGGTTCTGTATTTTGACCTGAGAATTCTCAGAAATTATCCAGAACCCGGATGCTCCCACATCATCTCATCACCACCATCACTGCTACATTCTTCAAGTTCCATATCTTCCTCCATCTATCTGTTCATTGACCCAACCAAATCGCAAATCACCAAACATCATGTCAACACGCTCGGGTAAACGTCTCCGCTCCCCTGCGGCTCCTGCGACTGAAGCACGTAATAATTGGAAAACGAGTGCTCAAAAACATACCAATTCAAGCAATCAAGTTTCAAAGCGAGCTAGAGGAGGTCAACAAAACAACACACTCAATCAGCCAGATGATGAAATCAATCACGATGCACTAGACTCACGCAATCCTGCCTTGAATGATGCTGACAATCAGCCACAATTCACTTCTAAATTCTCTGCCTTGAATTTTGATAATGTTGAGGAACAACTTGACAACTGGACAATTGTAGAGCTCAGGAATGCCCTTACCGATCAGAAAAAACAAAACCCTTGACACAAAAACCAAACTCCGCAAGAAATCAAGACGTTTGTGGAGTTAATCCGGCGAGACCACGAGAAACGTATGTTGATGGCCGCGCTTATTGGTGGAATCAGCAAGACTATGGTATGGTCCCTTGTGTAAGTCCATCATATTTCTTCTTTATTTTGTTCTATTATTTTAAATTGTTACACTGAATAATTGCATGAGGCTCACAGTAATGCAGGTCCAACGAAAAAAGGCAAACTGAACTGTTATGCTAGATTTTTGTCCTTTGGCAAGGAGGCTCTCGAAATCGAACGTAAGTAATGGATGGAGTTATCAATTCTTATCCTGTGGCAAACTAATATCCTATAATACATTGCACATGTTTTAGTACCACCTCGATCCGATCAAGCGGGATGGGGCCATCGCAACAAGAAATTGAGAGACTTGTGGAAATCAAAGAGTCTGGATGAACAGATGGTTTTTCGCGACCCATTCTTCTTTGCTTTAGCCAAGCTTCCAAATCTATCCTTATCAAATGAAGAACATGTAACTGAACTGGAAAATGATGACGAGTTTAATGAAAACAAAAATCCAGTAGCTCAACTGGTGTCAGCCCCAAAGATTCACCAGTTATCAGAAGCCGATGAGTTAAAATATCGACCAATCTTTGACAAACTGGTAGATGTTGATAAAGTCCATGCCAATCACGGAAAGCCAGAATCAACCGACTCTATGGCGACCATGCAGCTCAAGTCTTTAGCGGCATTTCAAGCCGCTCATCATGGTGTAAGTAGTTCCCTCCCTTTGGATCTAGGCCAAATATTATAACTTATAATCATGATTGATACAGTTTGCAACAGTTTGCCAACGATTCCACATTCACTATCACCTGACTGCGCTCAGCTGTGATGTTGAAGATGGCTGGAATCGAGTTTTATCAACCGACAAGACGTTCTCAACGTGGGCTGATGACAATTTGAAATTGACAACAAAGTTTAAGTATTATGTCCATGGCAAGGCGGTGGCTCAGGAAATCGAGAAGAAGCAACCTCAACCTGTTGATGCGCGTAGGGGGGAATTGACTAGAGAGCTCAATAAACTGCTAAGTAAGTTTTTTCATTCGACTTCGTCTTATTATGACCACATTTCATGCAGATGCAACCTATTCATTATGATGTTTCATTTATGACACAAGACGTACACATGCCTGGCAAAATATTCCCCAAATCAGGTAACCCTTATGAAATTATTGAAGCCAAAGGTTGGCCAATCCGACTCAATCTGAAACCAGAATGTTCACTTTTACCGGAAGAGTTGGCCATGGGTTTCCGCGATTGCAACGATGCACTAAAGAAGAAGTGGCTCACCGACATTCAAACTGGACACTTCACGATTGAAAAGATTCCCGCTTCCGAAATGATTCCAACAAAAAGACAACAAAAACACAAATCAAGTAAAAAACAGAAATCAAAATCAACTCAACCACACGCTGCATCACCTATAAACACTCAAGAACAAACTCAAGATCAAGGCACTTCGGCTCAAGGGTTGTCTCAACCCTCTCAAACACAAACCCTCTCTGATCGAACTCAATTACAAAAAGGTGATTTGTCAAAGACAAAAAAGACAAAGAAATCAAAGAAATCTGCTAAGAAGGTTCGCCAGGATGATGATGAATCCTCTGAAACTGAGCCAGATGAATCGGAGCCAGATGAATCAGAGCCAGACGAATCAGAGCCAGACGAATCAGAGCCAGACGAATCAGAGCCAGACGAATCAGAGCCAGAATTGTAGTGAAATCTTAAAAACTTATCACTTGATCACAAACGACCGATTATGATAACTTTTTCGCATTGAATTTTGAACACGCCTGGCCATTTTTGTACTTGTAGTTGATCTAGTCAATCAACTTTTTAGTGTACTCTTCTGACCTCCATAAATGTCTTTGATACTTACAATTTACAACTTTTACAACTTGTTTGCTTCTTTCCTGTCAAATTATCACATTTCTTTCATCAAAAATTTCTTTCATTAGTTTGATCTAGTTTGATGTGCGTTGTAATGGATCCAATGTGATCGCTTGAACAATGAATTCAATCATTTCGGTCATTACTCAGACTAATGACTCTGATGACTCGAGTCATTCAATGATGATTCTGGTTCTTTAATTCATAATAGTTCATACTTCACAATTGAACAATTGGTTCGACGAATCAAACTGTTCAATTGATTGGTGTGTAATCAATTGAATCAATTCATTTGTTCAAAACAAATCCTACATGATTTCATGAATCGATTCCGATCTAGTCCTATATGTCAATTCGTTATTAAACAACAGATCTATCCTTGGGATTGGTCGTTTCAGAATACAAGTTTTATAGAAGAGGCCAAGTGATCTTTTGTCCCTTTGTGTTGTTTTCAGTCTGCACTACCTGCACAGCCTCTAGCTTCTGGGTTATGCGTCGAGATGAGCTCAAGGTTCGAAGCAGGGAGTCTGAGCAGGGTGCAAACAAAGACAACAACAAACGAACAAATGAATGCACAAAGCTACTTGAGTGTGGCGAGGAGTTGAATCGATAAAATAGGGATGTGGGAGGTAAGCACAAGGGGAATCAGTCAATCTTATATGTGGCAGGTGCAGAACGCGCGGCTCGTTTCAAAACAACTACCAGAGCGTTTTGAAACGTTTCGGAGGCTTCAATTAGTAGCTGGCTCAGTTGGACCTGGCCATCACAATCGATCGACCTGTTGATCTGGACTTTACCTTGAAACAATCAACCAAAAGCTGTTGAATCAATTGTGCCTCAGGGCTTCAGTGTTTCAACCCTGATATCCCTTGACTTTGAGGAAGGGGAAAAGAGACGAAGGGTCTTCCAATCAACTCTCAATCTCAATTCCTCAAACTTCTCAAAATTTTCGCTATGTTTCGTTTCATTCACATATTCATCTGACCTTATCGATCTTGTCATTCCTGCACAATCCAAATGTAGCCTTACAGTGTATCAGGATCATCATGTCCATTTGTATGTATGTAGCTGGTGGTTCATTAAAACTTTTGATTCATTCAAACCCAATCATTTCATCACATGTACATATGTTCACTTTGTGTTTTGTATTGGATTAATCTGTCGATACCTTTTTTCAAAATGACATCAATTTCATTGTGTTAACAACAGACAACAACTCAAAAGAGTGGAAAATTGATGTAACTCAGGTGCAGGTGAAGGTCCCTGTGACGCCATCCCAAAAGAGAGTTTAGTTTGAAGTATACCAAGCTTGATCTGTGTACGTTCTTGAGTGGTACAGTCAAGCTCAGCTCGAGATTGATACATAGCGTCGAGATTGATAGTGAGAATGAGATAGATAGTTCTGGACATATACAACCGGATGGTTGGAAGCAAGCACCCTGGGTTGAAGGAAGTCTTTGTTAGGCCTTACATGGGCAAGTACAGTTCAAGAATGGCGTATGTTGAAGAGAGATGAATGTTGGAGATGGGTCGAGTGAAGGAATTGCATACAATGGTAAAGTCATGGGTCTGGGTATTGTACCCCACATGGGTTGAGTAGGGTTGAGTTCCTTGATGAGTTATCAGATTGATCTGGCAAGACAGATCGAGATCGATCTGAGAGCTTCGAAATTGATCTGGGAACTCTGTAATTGGTCTGAGTGCTCTCAGATCGATCTGAGGACTCTCAAATTGATCTGAGAGGCCGTAGATCGATCTGAGTGATCTGATAACCTTAGGCTGTGAACTCAAGTTTTTTTTTTGTTTTGAATGAACAAAAAAAGAAAGAGGATGACTACAAATGACATATTGAACACTTTCAAGACTTCAAAATGACTTGAACAGTGTTTATGAAGGAGCGGTTTTCTGCTCTAGATCATCTTGAGTGATCTGGCGCAGACCATCAAGTCAGGGCCTGATGAAAAAGTGCCCCGTCTCATCGCTTCAGTACTCGACGGGAGTAGGCGCCACAGGTGGTAACAATACCTGAAATTTGGCCCTTGACTTGGAAGACAGGATTTTTGAATCTTCAAACATCAATAACTTTTGCCAGTTCTGAATCAAATCACTCGATTTACAGTGCATTAAGAAGGTGAGCCTTCCCTCTACATTTTTCATTGTGACATCACATATGTAGCTGGTCTAAAAAAGATCCTACAGAGCTATTCATGCAGAACTGTTTGCACATATGTAGAGTGTTTAAATGACTAGATAGCACCTTACTAACATTATGAAGTGTGAAGGAAAATAGTTCAGCTTTTGAATGAACCAAAAATCGAGTTATTTGGAGCAGAATTGCAAAAGTTATTGAAGTTTTTAGACCACAAAATATTGTCTTCATACTCATGACCCATAGTTCAGGTATTGTTACATGTGAGTTTTTGATGATTTTCAGCGTTTATTGTTAGTACATAAACCAATATCTGCCTGTAAAATACAAAAAAATACTCATCATGACGCCCCAACATCTAGGAACAAGGTGCATATTTTTTCAGATTTTTAGCTCTCTTCCTGTTGCCTCAGGACTTTTCTATGTCAGTAGTTTTCTTTACCGCCCGGTAAAGATTACATTTGGTGTAGTGTTACTGTCTTGAATTCAATTTTTGTTTGAAATTAATCTTGAGTCATGAGTATCACCAGGTGAAAATTAAGAGTTGAGCCTAGCAGTTTCTGTACAAATGGTGATCAAAAGAACACATTGTGGAAGAATTACATTGCAACAACATTAGATGGTGTTGAGATCCAATCAACACAAGCATACTTTCCCTAGATTATGCTTATAGCACATTTACCCCAATCTTTCTACATATATATACAACATTGATTTATCATTCATCAGTCTTCTTTTCCCCATCAATGAAAAGAAGAATGTGAGTGACTGATTTCTTTATTCTATATTCTTTATCTTTGTGACCTTCTCTGACTCATGCCAATTTCTTATGTTCTTAGTTGTTATCTTTATCAGACCCAAGATAGGACTCTGAACATATTTGTTTTTCCCGCTCAGGTACTTATTTCCCCATCAATGAAAAGAAGACTTTTTTATCTGTATCAGACCCAAGATAGGACTCTGAAGATATTTGTTTTCCCGCTCAGACTGTGTTCCAAGACTTTCTCAGATGGGCTGCATAGGGCTGCAACCCGGCCCTGAACTTTTGCCTTGGTGAAGCCCAAAGGCCTTCCAAATGGATCGGGGCCAGACAGCGCCAGGGGCTGTTTTTAGCCACAAAAACCACTCAGAGAGTCATTATTTCATTTGACAAAAGTGTAAAAGAGTGACTTACCGTGAGATTTTTTGAAGGAAAATGTTTGGCAGCCCTGGTGCCCAAGATGCCCGACCTGCCCGAGGCACCCCCAGGGTGCACTTGTGCTCATCAGCGCGTTAGGTTTGGCAGCCCCAGGGCGCATACTGTGAGCGCTCTGAGATGGCTTGGGCAGAGTTGGCCAGGCGGGGCCGGGTCCGGGTTGCAGCCCTAGATGGGCATACCTATCAAGATGTAGCGTCTGACGGAACACACACATGACTAAAGGTGACGCTTTGATGTGCTAAAAGCAAGAGACATATGTAACAAAAATTGATTCTTCCAATGAGTGCAGCAATCAACACAGTGAAAAAAGGAGTTTATATCACACAAGAAATACGATTTTGAAAAGCTTTTAGCACAATGGGAATCCTTTTCAGCCAATTCAACAATTTTGAATAACATCATATCTTCTTGATAATCCCTGGATGTTATTTGTTGGGCTTGCACCCGGAAAACTAACAGTTTCAATTAGTGATTCAGAATCACATCTCAAATTTTATCTGAACATCCTGGAACCTAAAAGCAAGGGTGCAACTATACTATACTATACTATACTTGACTATACTGGGTATAGTATATTTCAACTATACTATACCAAGTATAGTCAAGTATAGTATAGTTGGAATATACTATACCCAGTATAGTATATTTCAACTATACTTCACTATACTTCACTATACTTCACTATACTTCAGATACTTGACTACACTTTAGATACTTTGCTATACTGTATATACTACCTTATTTTGTCAATCATTTTTTTCATTTTTTCATTATTTGTTGTATCATTGCATTGACTAGACAGTAGTTTATTGGATGGTTGTCTTTTACCGTGAATGATTCAAATTATTCAAAGAACCAACCAAGTCACTGCTGGTGCAATTCACTGGTTCATTTTTGGCTTTGTCAAGAGATTGCTCAAAAGATCAAACATACGTGTATGATGTATTGGTGTATACTTGACTATTTATAGTGTATCATTGGTTTCTTTACTCATTTAGTTGAATTCTTTGTCTAGTAGTTTGTAATTTACAACTTATGATTACACAATTTAAACACAGAACCACCACATAATTTACTTATGATTTCTTGCAGCTTCCTCCTCCGCTAAACACAGATACATTGTTTCTCCAGCAAGCTCAAACTCTTCAGTTAATCTGACCATTTGAGCTGTCCAAAGACAGGTACTCACTGAGCGCTCAATGGTTCTGGGCAGAAGCCCACCTCGATTGCGGTCACGGACGTCAGCTGCAGTTGAAAAACTTTGTTCAACAGGGCAGGAAGTAGCACTTGTAGCAAGATAATTGCGTGCCAAACTTGCGAGTACCGGATATCTAGACTTATTCATCTTATCATGAGGATAATCAGATAAGCACATTAGACCAGGATTAAATCAATAAGGAACCAAACTTACATTCCACCATATCAGAGCCTTCTTGGGATCAAGATCAACCTCCTTATCTGGGGCATCATCTGCTCGAAG